CAGGGCCGGGGCACAGGGGAGTTGCAGCTCCTCCATGTCTCCCTCTGCTCCACAAATCGGGGGGACTTGTGAGGTGCCGCAGCCGCTCGTGGACATCTGTGCTGCCTCCTGGACTGCAGCACCCAGGAGGAGCCCTGGGGACCTCATGGTCCAGGGCGTGCAGATGCGGTCCCCAGCCTTGGGCTAGAGCCCTGTGCCGCTGGCGGCTCCGGAGCAGCCCCTGCTCCCGGGGTGCTGCACTGAGGCGAGCAGGGCCACGTGCAAGAGGTGATGTTGAGGTGACACCAAATATATGGGGAATCCAGAGCCGGAGCTGAAAAAATGATCAGCCAGCAGCACAAGGCCTCCCGTACATCTTGGGAAGGCACCAGGCTGGAGGAGGCACCGAGGGGTCCCTGCCAGTCCCAGAACCCCCCCAGCACCCCAGCTATCGAAACCCTGAAGCCCCAAGGGGACAAAATTAGGGACATCTGCTTCTCTGGATGGAAAGCACATTCCAAGGGATCGTGCATTGCAGGGGGGAGGGAGCAGGCAGGGGGCTGTCGGGACACGCTGGGCTTCAGCACAGGACTGCAGCTGGGGGCTCATACCCAAGGCCTGGGAATTTGGGGACCCCTGAGTTTTCTGAGTGGTGAGGTCTTAGAGGGGGAGAGGATGTGGATACTGGGGTGCTCAGTAGCACTGGGGGTGAGGCAGGACAGTGGGGCGACGTGGGGCAGCCTGGGTGGGATGGGGAGCTCGTGTCTTTCCAGCATCATCATCACCAGGTGTCCCAGCAGTGCTGGCTTCTCCCACACGATGGAGCAAAGCGCCTGGGCATCTCCCGCAGAGGTGGCCCACGCCAAGGGCTTTGGCACCCCTTCGCCGTTTACCCCCAAACCCAGAGCAGAGGCTCCCAGCTCCGTGTTACCCCGAGGCTCCAGGCTGCAAGTGAGGGAGGACGGACACGAGCATGGGGGTCTCCAGGCTGCTTTATTGAGGGGCTTGTGGCTGGAGGGGCTGCCAAGGAGCGGGGGCACGCTTGGAGCTCCCCACTTCTCCTCCAGCCACTTGCCATGAGGGGAACATCTTTGTATTTGCTTACACCAGCCTCTGCTTAGCACAGGCGGGGGTCAGTGGGGAAAGCCCCCAAGCCCGTGGAGCAGGGACCATGCCAGCCAGCCCTGCTCCTTCCGTGCATCCCCAAACTGTCCCTATTTCAGTTAACAGGGATCTGAACCATTCCTATTTTCCCCAAAGTGGGAAGCAGCCAGACAACGCGAGCGCTGCTGGAGACGTGTGTTAAAAAAGCAGTTTCCTACACGGCACTAGGGATGAAGCAGGTCGGACAGCCGGGCTGCTGGGGGGGTTAGTGTTATAAATAATTCTGGTTCACCCCATGCCCATTCCTGGGGGCTTCCTCGCGGGGCTGCAGCCCTAAAACCAGCTGACTTGGTTGGATTTCAGTCCGGTGAAGCACATGTTGTTGGAGCAGCCCCCACCATAAGTGGGGGGGCAGGCTGAGCACGGCCGCCCCACTTTGTACGGCGCTTCTCCCAGCCAGTTGCCCCTAAAAAAAGAGGAGAGCATCACCTCTGAGCACCATCATCTTGCTGCCAACAGCGGAGCAGGCAGCGAGGTGGGAGGACAGCACGGGAGGGCTTCCCTCCATGCACTTACTTGATGGCGTAGTTGCAGACGAGGAGGATGGCGTGCCGCCACGTGCTGCCCCACACCTGCACGTTGGCACAGGTGCTGAGGGCGCAGCCCAGGCGGCTGGAGGACGCCCACACCATCTGCACCGGGACAGAGAACAGGCGCTGTTGGCAAACGTCCGGCCCAGGCGTCCCACAGCCGGTCACCCTGGGACCCCAGCGCAGGGCTCTGTCCCACCAGTGAATCACATCCCGCCTGCCCGAATTTCTCAGGCTGGATGCTGTGCCCACCACAGGCAGTGCTGTGTCACCAGAGGGTGATTTCTTGCTGCCCCTCTTCTGCCTGCAACCCCTGCTGCCTGCAAGGGGCTGCCTTGCCAAGCTCACTTAAATGAGCAGCAGCGTCTGGGTCACTTCTCCGACTTACCCAAATTAGTTCCCAAACCTCACCCTGAATCATCGCTGGCAGCTTACTTTGTACACAGGGAGGTGAAACAGAACCAGAAGTTCCTCCTAAAGCTTCTCCAGGCTGAATTTCTTCCTTAAAAAAAAGTACCTTGCCCATTTGCAACCTGGAGCATCCCCACAGATGAACCGCACGGGGATGCAGATGCTCAGGTTGGAGCCATGCAGAGGAGGTAATTAGGGGCTGGCACAGCTTTGCCACCGGGCAGGGGAGCAGAGGGAGGTTTTCCACCTTGTGCCGGCCAGGCTGACGGTGGATGTGCCGGGGGTGAAGGGGCTGCGTTCCCGGGGAGCCGGGCACGGCTGGCACTATAGAGCTGCTCCATCACAGAGGAGAGGATTCATGCTCAGCAAAAGCACAAAGGAGCTTTTTTTTCTCTTCACCACCTTTGAGGTACCAGTGGGGTAATAAGGAGAAAAAGGCCAAAGCAGGGAAAAAAGGTTAAAAACCCCACAAACCTCCCAGCCAACTGGCCAGAAGTTCCCAGCTGCACTTCAGCGGGCTGTGAGCCCCTGGGACATCCATGCCAGCAGCCCGATTCCCGCAGGGGTCCAGGGTGGGAGGGAATTGCTGCCGGCTGCCTGCACCCCTCGAGCAGGCACGTTGCCTGCTGCCAGCCCTGCTGCCTGGTTTGAAGCAGGCAGCTGCCAGGATTCGATCCTGGATCCCAGCTGCTGCTGGGAGAAGGGCCGCTCTGCACGGGGTGCTGTAGCAGCCCAAGGTGCTGTGAGCTGCCCCCCGGTTTGCAGCCGGGTCGCAGGGGGGCTGTGGGGGTCGCGGGGGGCTGTGGTGCTCACCTGTGTGTAGTGGCTGCAGACAGAGCCGCTGCATTTGGAGGGGCTGCGGGGGTGGCACTCGCGGGGATGGGGGAAGGAGTAGTGCTGCTTCTCCTGGTGCCACGATTTCACCATGTCCACGACGGAGCGGTACCTACAAAAGGTGCTGTGCGTAAGGTGGACTTCCTCCACCTTGGAGGTCATGGGTGAGGGAGAGGAGGGGGACGAAGGCTCCACATAGAGGGAATGGGGGAGAGAAGTGGGATGGGGCAGGAGCAATGACATCCTTGGGCCAAGTCCACTTGTGCCCGAGGCCGAAAGACCTGGTCCTCGCTGGAGGCACCTGAGCGCTCAGCTGCATGGTGGGGATCCAGGACCCACGTCCCCCTGGTCTGTGTGCCCAGCAGAAAGGGGATTAATCCCACGCTCCCCAGATGAGCAGCGGGCACCTCTGGTTTCCCACATTTACCCTGCTGCAGGAGTTGGACCCTCCTTCTCCACCCCAGGGGGAACTTGATGTGCTTCTTGGTTGCATCTCAGCCTCTGCAACCCCAGCTGAAAACCTCTGTGCTCCTCGACCGAGGGGCTGCTGCTCCTCCTCCAGCATTGTGGGGTGCAGGGCGTCCCCAGGAGCCTGCTCGGCTTGCGGGGTACTCACCTGCCTGAGTGGATGGAGAGGTTCTGCCCCACGTATTTCATCAGCTGGGGGGGGCCGTGGTCCCACAGGCAGCGTGCAGCCCACGCCTCCGCTGCCCTGGCCAGCCGCTCGTCCCACACCTGGCCAGGAGGAAAGGAAAAGGGCAGGCAGGGATTTCGGGTGCCCAGAGGAGGGAAGAGGAGAAACCCACTCCCTTGTGCTTCGGGGAGGTTTCTGAGCACCCATGGGTGTCCAAAAAACATGACTCACACATTGGGCTGAAAAAGCCCAGAGGAAGCACGGCAGTGTGCCCAGGAGTGATGAACCACCCCAGCTGCCCATCATGGCCCCTGGGCACGGAGGGTGCTCACTGCCCTGGAAGAGCACGGATGCCCTGAATCAGTGCAAGCCCTGTGTGTGTGACTCCCTCCGGGAATGAACTCCTTCTGCAGAAGGTGGAGCTGAGTTCAGGGGTGAAACCCTGCAGCCCTGCGCTGCCGCTGCAGCTCGCAGCTCTCCCCAGTCCTCTACTGCAACCCCGGTTGCAGACTAACTGGTGAGGACAGCTGGTTCCTTCATGCATTATTTAAAGGTTCCTCACCCATCCTGAGCTGCTTTGGGGAGATGCCTGGGAGAGTTATTTGGGAAGGCAGGAATTTAGGCCAAGGAAGAAGTGGCACAGGATGCTCCCGGGCACATCTGACCCGCTCTGGTACCCAGCAAGCCGGGCTGCCGCCTGTCTCTCCCAAACCATCATCCAGGGACCACCCAGGCACTCCGTTGGAGCACCAGTCCTCTCCCTGGCAGCAGAGCGCACATGGCACCTCCTGCCCCAGGGGTCCCACCTTGTGCTGGCTGAAATCCCTCCTCTTGGTGTCTCCCCATTTCTTCTCCCTTTATGGATGGAGCTTAGGAGCTCCAAGCAGGGTGGAGGGAACCTGGGGAACGCTCTGCCCAGGGTGGCCATCATCCAGAGGTGCCTGACACGGTGAGGCTGCACAGCCCCTCTTCGTCTCAGTCCTGCATGTTTCTTTTCCCAGGGGGGCTGGCATCCCTGGGCACAACTCCCACACCAGCTCTCGAGGGACCTTGGATCTTGGGACAGGACTGTTCCTCTGGGGTTCAGTTAGGGGAGAGGCTCCCACCTGGGTTTTGGGTTGGGACCTGAGCTTTTCATGCTTGTGATCACCTCCCTTCCCCTCATGCTACCTCTGCAGTTTGGCTGGACGGATCCTGCCATCCTGCAGCTGGCAAGCTCCCAGATGTCCCAGGCGTGGGACCAGGGGTCCTAAATCTGCCCCAGGTGGAAACATCACCCTGTTGGGACTCCATCCCTCCTGTGCTGAGGCTGTATGGGTCTGCCCTGCACCAGGGATGCGAAATGTTTCCCAGGACAGGCATTCAGCCGCAAATCCGGGGCAGCACCCTGACATCCCCATGTGTGGGTGCCCCATCCCTACCAGGTTGGGTGCCCACATTACAGGTGAACCCCTCAACCCCACCACAGCAGCCAAGAGCTGTGGACCCAAAACCACCCTACCAGAGCCCGACTCACCATATACTCCATGTTGGCGGCAGGGGGGGAAACTTGTGCCCGCACTTGGTTATGGTAATCCAAAATTGTGCTCATGTCACGGGGGGAGAGGTATCGCTTCCGACGGCTCCGGGGGACCCCCACGCCCCAGAGCAGGCCCGCGGCTCTGCCCCCGGAGGGGGACAGGACTTCGGTGGCATTGGGCAGCAGGAAGGAGCTGGACTGCTGTGTCAGCCAGAAGCCCAAGGCAGTGAGGTACAGGTGCAAGTGGAGCACCGTCATGCTAGCCTGGCCGGCGGGATCGGCCAGCGGCTTTCCACTCCTGCACGGGGTTAAGCAAGAACAAGGTGGGTCACTGGTCACCGCTGCTGGCCCGTGGATCTAGGAGGGAAAACAACAGAGGCACTGCTCAGGTTTGCAGTTCACGTACAAACACCACTTCCCAAAATAAGATGGAAATAAATTCTCCTTTGTTTCCTTTTCAAAATAATTTTTTAAAATTAATCTCTTTGATAACCTTATTTATCACAGTAAATTCCCCAGGACCAGCAGAGAGATGTCTAGGAAATTGATTTTCTTGTTTCTTTAAAAAAAAAAACACAACAAAATTGGTACAAAATCTCCCCCATTTTTTCACTTACCACACGTACCTGCCGGGCAGGGGCTAATTAGGAGCATGCTGAGATACTCGCCGCAGCCCAGCCGCCTGCTCTGTAACTTCCCAGGCGTTTGGTGTGTTGAGTAAATCCCCAGCACAAATGGAAATGTCATACAGATAAAGAAGCGCACGGCAAGGTTGACAAGCATCAGTGAGAAATCCTAACGACTCATCATCTCGGGTAAAGAAAAATAAACCACCGCAAAAGCAGAATATTTGTTTTTTTTAAAGGAAAATGCTGAAATATCTCCTTGTCTGTCAGCCGATGCACCTCCTAACATCCCTGCCAGCCCTTCCCCGGAGCAGTGGGGAGGATGTTCCCCCGACTACATACCTTGAGGACTGAGCCAAGAGCAGCTGAGCTCGGCGGC